TCATCTTCATCATCATCTTCACCGTCATCATCATCATCACCACCGTCACCGTCATCTTCATCATCACCGTCATCTTCATCATCACCGTCATCATCATCATCACCGTTATCATCATCTTCATCACCATCATCATCACCGTCATCATCTTCATCATCATCACCACCGTCATCCTCATCATCACCGTCATCACCGTCATCATCATCACCGTCATCTTCATTATCATCATCTTCATTATCATCACCGTCATCTTCATCATCATCATCACCGTCATCTTCATCATCACCGTTATCATCATCTTCATCATCGTAATCTTCATCATCATCACCGTCATCATCACCGTCATCTTCATCATCATCATCACCGTCATCATCATCACCATCATCCTCACCGTCATCTTCATCACTGTTATCACCGTCATCATCATCACCGTCATCTTCATCATCCTGACCACCGTCCATCGTGATCATCATCATCCTGAGCATCACCAACGTCATTATCATTAGATTTCTCATTTCCATCACCGACATCATCATCATCAGAATTATAAGCGTTGTGGTTTATTTATCGCCATGATCTTTATCACCATCACCACCATGTAGTCTTCAACTTCTTCAGTCTCTCCTGTTTTTAATTCAGGTGGTACCCTGATTCTGCCTTACAATAGTAATACAGCGGCCATGTGTTTAAGGATAAAACATATCTATAAACTATTAGAGAAACCCCCCGTAAATTGTACACAATAGATCGCGCGAGCCTAGGGGGCCCCTGATTGGCAGCTTGACCTACTGCAGCGACACAGCTGCGGCTTGTCACGTGAGACGCTAGTCTGCCAGTAGGGGGCGATGTTGATTTTGTTTATTGCAATATTTGTAATTCACGAGTACACTATATTTCTATTTTTCCCCTTCACATTTCACAAACACATGAAATGTTAACTTAAGTAATTTAAAAACCCAACAGGATGAAGTTTAATAAAATATTGCGTCACATTTTAAAACGTGACACAATATTTTGACACATGGTATGGCTCACATTTTAAATGTGACACAAGGTATGGCTCAAAATCAGGCACATTCATATTGGCTAAACTGCGACTACAATGTATTCGTTAGCTACTGAGGTAGGAGCCGCTGGTGTTTATATGACATTATTTAATATTGTTCTACGTACGAAAATCATCCTGCTATAAGAATAGGACTTTTTACTCTTGGGACGTAACACGAAATCCGAGGAACTTATTAAATTACACGGGCTACAATTTGTATTTAACAAACCAGATTAAATTGATGGCAATTGCTTCATGGAGTGGAGCGGTGGTGCATTCACTAGCTCACTACCCTGTGAACCTCGTAATATCATTCGATTGCCGGCCACGGCTAACATCAGTGGCGAGTGATATTTGAAACCGGTCAAGGGATGCTCCCCTCACCCTCCACCCCTTCACCAACCCCGCAGTGACCAGTGTGGTGAAGTATGGCCAAACAAGGCATGGGAATTTAGTAATATAATTTGGTCTCGATTGCACAACATTCATCCGTGGCAAGGCGTGCGTCTGTAACCGTGGGAGTCATATCCATCTGTAACCGTGGCAAGGCTTTCATTTGTAACCGTGGCAGATTCTAGATTTGAAGCTTTCGTGACTGCAAGGATTCATACTCTTAGTTTTTTTCGGTAAAGTCACGGAGACTTGTGTCGCCTCCGAAACGTCGTGATTTATTATTTTATTTCTATTATTACTTTTATTAATTAAAATTTTTATTTTTTACCTACGTGACTTTACCGAAAAAAACCTAAGAGTATGAAACCGTGGCAGACTTTGTTGGGCTGGCGTCTGTAACCGAGGTGGGCGTGAGTCCGCAACCGTGGCGGGCCGTGGCAGGCCGTGGCGGGCCGTGGCAGACCGTGGCAGGAGGAATCGAGGCGGCACGCTGGGTGGAAGCCTTTGCAGTCATTAAGTGTTTTCAAGCCATTACTGGGGGAGCCTCCCGTGCCCGCGACCTCCTCACCCCGCACTTCCCCCCCACGCTCCCCCGCCCCCCACGTAACTGCTTCCAATTAAAAGGGGATATTTTTTAAAAGGGAATGTGGGGTCTTTTTTTTTTCCAAACGGAAAAAAAAAATCCCGAGCGCGCACGTGATGAGAGTCGAGGAGCGAATGCTGCGCTGGGGACACGGGGAGGTGGTGGGAGTTGCGGAGATGCGGAGATGACATTGTAGATGTGGAGGCAATATTTGAGGTGGGGAAATGAGATGGGGTTTGGGGAGATGAGAAGATGCCAAGGATGAGCGGGAGATGGGGGAGATGTAGACGTGGGAGATGGGGGGGGTAGGAGATGAGATGGGAGATGTGGAGGCAATATATAAGCTGGGAGACGAGGTGAGAGATGAGTTGGGAGATGGGAAAGTGCTCTATGGGGACATGGAATGAGTAGGTAGGAGATGCGGGAGGTTTTAGTTGTGGAGGTGATATATGGGAGGTGGGAGATGAGGTGGAAGATGGGGTGAGAGATTTGTCGATGTCTTTGCATTTTGAATGGTAGCGCCTCTAGTGGTTGGAGAGGTCACAAGTACAACAACCCTCAACATTATTTACGCAATTTGTCATTCCACTTCCAGAAGGCCCCTTACGCCGTGTTAATCACATTCCTTCTTTTGACCATACTTCACCATGTTGGTCCGTGCACGTTTTGAAAGGAGGGCGGGTTCAGATAGCACTCGCCACTGCTGATTTATTACAGAACGAAAAGAGGTTCATCTCACCTGCATTTGAATTTGAGTTCTCTCTCTCTCTATCAACGTTGACATTGTGCGTTTGGGCCACCGACTGTTTAAAAAAAAAACAACGTCGAAGTATAGTTGCCAACCATCCCCGATTGTCCAGGAATCTCTACCAAAATTGGTTTCAATCTCCGGGCGACTATTGCAAGCAATCCGGGAGATTTTAATAATAAAATATTTTAAGAAAATAAAACAATAGAAAATCTCCCGGAATAGCTTCGGTCAGTGTTGGCAACCCGAGTCGAGAGCCAGGAGCACAACGATGATGTGCCTGGTTTGCACACAGACGCAAATTTGCCATTCAACTTGTGTTACAAGAAATACATTTTCTTTTACACCGGTTTGTTTGTGCATTACTTTCGCATTTCTCTGGAATGCGGTTATTTTTGCTCTGTTTTGGAATTTGCTTAAATTTTTGTCCGTTATTTTATATTTTTTTGGTCATTTTGGTGAAAGGATAAGCCTCCGGCCATGTTTGCCGGAGGCTTATCCTGGTCTCTTTTCAGTTCTCTCCTGGTCAATGAAATGAACCTGAACTGGTAGCATTTCTGTGCACATGGCCTTAGGCATGTAGTTCTTTGCTGGTGGGATTGGTGGATCGTACCGAGATCATTTGTGCAAGACCAGCGTGGAATGATGACAATTCCCTCCCAATGCTGCTTTGAAGAAACTAGAGCTGGGTTGATTTATCAATGAAGTTCTATCACGCCACATTGTAATCAACTGCTTTATCTAACACACTTTACCCCACTGCACTTGACCTGCCAGTCGACCGTGGTGAACTTTTATTTTGCTGGACAGCGGTGCACTCTCGTGGAAAATGCAGATTACTTTTTTCTAGGACTTATTTTTGTGCAATAAGATTGGTCGAGTAATGCAACCGATAATCGGTAAACGATTAATGAAGTGTATTTACCAAGAGAGTCACAGCCATAAAATATAGATGGGTGTGATGTGAGCTAACTGGATAGACATTTCAACATATAACCTTTTGTTTGCACCAATAGAAACGGCAACTTTTTGAGAGTTGCAATGGACATTGTCTTTATAATGGCAGTTGCACAACTGGAATATAACTGGGAAAAGGAGAAAACTATACTTGAAAAACACCGTCCCAATGTTCTACTACTTGTTAACGTTTGTATTAAAACTGAAAAGCCATTCCATGTTTGCTAAATTGGCAAAAAAAGTTCTCCCACGTCTCTGCGGATTAAAGTAATTCCCGAATTTAATTCAGAGCAGTACTTGTTAAAACCCAGTCACACTATTACCTCTTTCCACTATAACAACTGAGCCGTGCCAGGGTCACGCAAAAACCATTCCGGCATTTCGCAAGAGGTGCCAGGTTGTTCTTACACCGCCAAAGCTGAGCAGCGCTGCCGACAGCACACGCCAATGAAGAAGTCGAAACACAAGTAGATTACGTGGTGACGGCAGAGTGGTAAAGTTGGGTCCTGACTAATGTCCCACGTAATGAATGTCATTAGCCCCACCTCTGGCCCTGCTTGGCCCCGAGCCAGATTCAGATGTCTTGTGAGGCCAGATTTGCTGCATCACTTGATGTGATGCAGCAAATCTGGCTGTGACGGTCCCACCTGATGACGGAGACTTGTGTTGCCTCCGAAACGTCGTGATTTTATTATTTTATTTTTATTAATTTAAATTTCATTTTTTTTACCTACGTGACTTTACCGAAATAACTGAGAGTATGAATCCTTGCAGTCACGAAAGCTTCAAATCTAGAATCAACGTACAGCAGTTATAACCCAATTTACGTCAGGGATGCGGTTTTGAAAGATGCGACAAATATCGAAATGGCGTAAATCAAAGCAATAATTTATTGTATTCTTTAGTATTGTACATTTCTTTACGCGCGACACAAAGCAGTTCGTGTACAGGGTAGGTGGAGGTGAAGGCTGAAGCGACAGATACAAGGACAGATGATGCTGTCACCAATATAAGTGTGGGTTGAGGCCACGAAAATCAGGTCGTGGTGTTAATAAAGCGACAATGTACTTGCGAAACGATGTGAAAGGGAGAGACATAAATCGAGGTATTACTTCACCACCATTTGGTCCTGGCCGCGGTACATGATATAGGCAGTGGAAAACCACCGTACCACCAGGGCCCTGGACTGGAGGGGCTCGGATGTGCCAGTGGAAGTCAAGATTTCGTTTCCCAGACAGAACATTGGTGTAAATAATCCCTCTTGAAACACTCTGTAGGTTGAAAAATTATGCTTTTATTGCACCAAAACATGAAACATATTGCAAACAAAAATCAAAGATATTGCACGAACGTATTAAAGTGTAACACCAAGAAACGTTATCAATATATTAATGGATGATTGGCAATTACTTACCCAGGAAAGTCTCAGCGAATCTCAAAACTCTTTGCTGGAGGGGCCCCGGTATTGGAAATTTTGGCCAGTTTCATTCATGAGCGTGTTGCTTTGTCTATAAAACTGCAAAACCCCCTAATTATATGAACTTTCACGAATCGATTCAAGCCTAAAATGTTTAACATGTCGCACGTCATTGGCTGTCGCGGTGATACGAAGCCCTCCGTCAATCCACTGCTGGATGACGGCCTCCCAACGCCGCACCAGTAAAGGGAGTATTTGATCGCACTGGTAGGTGCCGGTTGGTGGTGGTACCCATGACTGGCCTCGGATATCAATCGCCACCGATGTCTCCCATGGCCAGAAACCAGAGCGCAGTGTGCTACCCATTTTGCCACCACTCCACCCCAACGCATCATGACATCCAACAGTGGATGGTCATTCGGGGCCAGTGTGTCCTGGCCCGACTAGAGGAAAAAACAAGACGACGAAATGACCAAATTATACTTACCTGCGCATTTTTTAAGTTTATAAACAGCACATTACGTAAGCCGCACAAGCGGTGCCTGTGTTTCTGTCGCTGACGAGTAAACAGGCCACACGTGGTAATCGGCCCAGAGCCTCCTGCTCCAGGCCTCCAGGAACCTCTGGGCAGGAAAGGCCATTAAAGGAAGGGCACACCACCCCCCTCCTCCTCCTACCCCCTCCACCCCCCTGCCCCATCCCCCCCCCCCGTCCGGCACAGGGAAGCGAGGACAGAGTCAGAGGGAAGCAGCGCTCGATGGTAAAACAGGAGCTCGTGCAGTGGAGCCGAAGCGCCATCGTGTTGGATTCGCTGCTGCCGGAGTCCAGGCCAGTTCCAAGCGGAGTCCATCTCGGGTTGTGGAGAGCATCCACGGCAGAGCTGCTGGGTAATGGAAGAGGGGGGGAATGGAGACATTTGATAAATGTTCTACCAGTAAAATAATACTGTGGGTGCTGCCGTGGTGAAGCGGTTAGCGCACTGGACTTGCAATCCAGAGGGTCGTCGGTTCGATTCCATCTCTCGGCACAGCAGTTGAAATCACCCCCACCCCTCGCCCCGGAGTAAACAGGTTACACACCGCAACCAGCTGAGCGGCACGTCGCGGTTTGGTGGGGTAGAGTGTGGGTACTGCCACCTCTTCCAATGTATGTGTACGTATGTTGAACTTCTGCCACCAGTGACGTGAGCAAGCAATTGCAGCGCTGCACCTTTACATTTTCATTATTATTGCATACAAGTTTTTTCGAAGAACCAAACCACAACGTAATACACAGATCACCATTGCAATGTTATAGTCCATAGTAAAAGTCTATCATTTGGCATCCTAAAGGATTGTAATGGTGTAACTATTCACCTGACCGGCGATTTTATTTTCACACATGGAGTGGGGGAGGTCATGTGAACCAGTTACATACGATATATACAAATAAAAACATAAATTCCGTATACGTAGCCATCGTGAGCTTAAGAACATGAGACAATGCATCATTACTCTCCCCCCCATGGCAAACGTTTCATTTTCTCCGATTTGTCTCCAAAAATGTACCCGGCAGCCACAACATCATCACGAGTGGGGAAAACCGCCAAGGCAATTCATTTGCAGTAAACTCATCACACTGTGAACCCAGTCCGATGCATCAAGAAATTTCTGAAAATAATAATTCTATTGATTGACTCAAGCCCGAGCCGAATCTGAGGACTCTTTCAGCCGGGTCCTGTTTCATTCAGATCTTTTGCTCTTGTGGGAACAACCAGAGAAAACCAACGGCCGCATGCACGAGGTGATAACCCATCAAGCCGCCACAAAACAGATTCAAGAATCTGTCGCTGATTCTAGATTTGAGGCTTTCGTGACTGCAAGGATTCATATTCTTAGGTTTTTTCGGTAAAGTCACGTAGGTAAAAAATTAAAATTAATAAAAGTAAAATAATATTCAGGGCCTATCTTGGCTCCTCCCACCCTCAACCAGTACATATATACAAGGACTGTTTTCTTGGAATTTCTCTCACTTGATACGGCAATCGTGCTGTGACGGTTCCACCTGAAGACGGAAGCTTGTGTTGCCTCCGAAACGTCGTGATTTTTATTTTATTTTTATTTTACTTTTATTAATTTTAATTTTTTACCTACGTGACTTTACCGAAAAAACCTAAGAATATGAATCTGCCGCTGCTCTACTGCGCGTGTATTCTCGCCGTCGCGCCACACGTCTCTCTCGCTGCGCTTCCCCGTCATGCCGCCAGGGCCGTCCATAGGGGGGGATGCGACCCCCCCCCCATGCCTTCAAACTAAACCGGAAGTATTACATGTGACACATGGGGCCCGGGGCGATCGCCCCGATTGGCCATACCCTGGGGGCAGTGGCGGCTCCTGAAAAATCTCTCAGGGGGGGCAAATGTCTGGATGATTGATAAGGATAAGGTCCACCCATGCAATGAATAAATTAACAGCTTAAGCATGTAAAGGCAAGTTCACTTCTTTAATATTAATGAAAAATAAAGTGACTCTTACAATACATCTTGTTTGTTTCTATACTCACTATTAATACAATTCACTCCGTTTATTTTATTAAAGATTCCACTAGGTGGCGACAAATAATATTGTTGGATGAAACGTGCTTACAGTATGATGGCGTAAGCACGTTAGTGCGAGCCCTCCCGGAAGCCATAGAGAATGCATTGCAGCGCCCGCTGTTCGAAAAAAATCATCTTTCAATGTAAGTCTATGGGAACACTCTGGGCGATTCTCAGCCGGAGTGAAATCGCCCAAAAAGAGGCAGTACTCCACAGAACGTGACATGGCGCTGATTGGACTATATCCAGAGGCACAGTAACGGCTAGCATAGCTCTGTGGTTGAATGAGATTGTTAATGTGATTGAAAAGTCCCTTTCACACATTGGTGGGGCGTCGCCCAATCGCCCTAATGAAGAAACCGCCCCTGCCTGGGGGCAAACTCTGCGTGCCGCGCAGCGCTGGGCACAACGCGTCCGCCGTTTCAGCTCAACGTGCCGACAGACTCTTCGGCAAGCGAATTGAAGCTCCCAGCGCACCGGAACGTAGCGACTTGCGCACGCGCGCGCTCACAACCACACACGGCGCGCGGTACGCGGGTACGACCCCCTCCACCACGCCGGAGAGAGCTACGACCGTGGCACCGGGTCCATCCGCCGGGCGGCGCCTCGCTTCCCCCGAGACTGGACCGCACGAGCCGGCGCCATCGTCGTCGTCGTCGTAGCAGCGAGCGAGCGCCACCGTCAGTTGTTTTTTTTAAATTTCGATTTAAAGCTTTCGTGACTGCAGGGATTCATCTTCTTGGTTCTTTCGGTAAAGTCACGTAGAAGGGAAGTAATAAAATAATAAAAATAAAACATAATAAAATAATTATGTTTTTTTTACTCAACGCAAGCCAGATACAAAGCGCCCATTGCCGAACGGAGGGGGCGCGGGGGGTGGGGAACAAAAGCTCCGCAAACAGCAGCCCGAGTTCGGCGCGACAGGGCCCAGCGTAAGGGGGTCAGCTGGTCTCACTGCCCCGCACCCAGGTGGGGCACCACCAGCGGGGACGTGGAGGTTTGTATAGGGACGGGGAAAAGGGGTAAGGGGGGGACGATAGGGACAGGGGGGGGGGTGAAAGATAGGGACAGAGGGGAGGGCACCAGCCCACCAGTTATTGAGAGCGCTGCTTCATTGCGCTCCGAGCTTCCCTCTTGTAAAAAGAGAAGATATGGCATGAGCCCACGATTGTACGCCATTGGAGTATCCCCCCCCCACGCTTCCCCGTGTGGGGAGAGGGGGGGGGCAGTGGAAACAGCGGTGCCGCAGGAAACGCACGTTTAATAGAGTATCTTTGCGAACAAAATGCCAAGAGCGCAGTCACACAAAGGTTCAAATACACTCCTGTACAGGAACAACACTTTTTTTATCCGCTGCTAGATGAGGCGGTAGGGTAGGCGGGAGGGGGTGCGGGCGGGTGGGTGCGGCCAAGGAAATGGTGCAGAACCTCACGTTTTTATTAATGACTCGTGACATGTTGACCCTGGGACAATCTTATTGGACGAACAATGTCCATTATTTACCGAGGAAAGCCCCACCAAGTCTCAATACTTTCTTCAGTAGAGCGCTGCATTTGGGATGTTGGGCCAATGCCATGAACGAGGATGTGGCTTCGTCGTCATCACCCCGATCCTCCATGGACAGATAGCTCGCCTGTATCGTCATTTGTTTCCACTTGACATGGGAGGAAGTTATAGGAGCCTTAAAAAATTAACCCGTAAAAACAAAGTTTTTCACTATAAATCCTTTATATGCGTGGCGGCTAGAGTCCTCTCGTCCTCTGGCTTGAGATGGCTGCCACCTATGGGTCAGATGATTGCCTGCCACCATTAAGCAATTGGTAATTAAATATTTTTTAAAAAATCCTAAAATGTTGAAAATTTTGGAGAAAACATTTTCACGAAAATTAATTGTCACGCACAACGAGTCTGTGTGCAAAATGTCAGCTCGATTGGATCACGGGAAGTATGTTAAAAAACGACCGAAAGATTTGCACGGTCTTAAGCAAGCAAGCAAGCACACAAGCAAGCAAGTGAACTTAATATAAAGGATTTAAAAATACCCCCCAGCATGCACACGCGAGAGGACAGCACTAGACGTCCCACACAGATGGATTCAGGAATCCATTTTCTCTACTGCTGTGTCCCGGCCACCTCGCGGGGAGGAAGCGATGGAAGAATGATGAGGAGGGCAGTAGTGCATAACGCTCGTGGCGAGGATAGACCGCATGTGATAGTATTATACACGCCGCGTGTACACCGTGTACACGGGCAACAACACTGGCTTTATTTACTCTTTACTCTTACGCATGGGTACGATTGGCGGCAGCAAACCTGTTAGAGACGAGAACTCATCCTTGTTCGGTTCAAATCCTGCACTCCGAGGCCTTCTAGGATGGATCAACGAAAAACGAGAAAATCCGAACGTTCGTTAAAAAAAAAATACCCGCGCATAAATAAAACCCGTGTGCGAGGCAGTCGAACCCAACGGGGTTTTTGTTTTTATTGTTGTTGAGCGGTCACTTTTCTTTTTTAAGGAGGAGCATTTTTCCTTAAAAAAGAAAAAAAACACACAAAAGGATACCTTCCAATAGTTTTGGAGGGCAAAGGTCAGCTGCCCGGGTTTGTGACCCGGTCACATCAAAGGCTCCCAAAAGAGCCGAGCGGGGCCGACTCGGAGCGAGAGGGGCAAGGACGAGGGAGACGCGAAACAACAAGGGAGGCACGACGGAACACCGGACACGAGAGAGAAACGAGAGGGAGACACCGCACGACAGAGACACGCAAGCCATGGGGGGGGGACGGTGGGGGGGGGGCAGCTCAAGCTGCGCCACGGTCACCGTGGCACGCGGGCGCTAATCTGGTACTAGATTCCAAAATGGCCGCGCTAACCCACCGAAGCCATCGAGAGCCCAACCAACGTCCAACCCTACGACCTCACCCCGCCCCCCCCCGCCCCCCGCCCCCCCTTGCATCCGGCACCCACAGTGTCGGTGGCGACGACGGCATCATCAGCATCATCAGCATCTCTGGGGGCGCCCCCCCCCCACCACCCTCTCACACCCGACCCCATTGCCACGCCTCTGTTCCCCACCAGGTTCCCACACAATCCAGCATTCCGCTCCTGTGAACTTTCGCACACAAGTATCCCGGGCAAGGGGATTACAGGATTAGTGCCGCATCCCGCACGCTAATGGACCGACGGCTGGAATGTGGTGGCTGTGGGGAGCGGGGGGGGGGGGGGGCTGTGGATTGGGGGAAGGCAGGGCCTGGGGGGGGGGGGGGGGCACGGCTCCCTGCTCCGTACGTGCATTGGCCCCGTTGCC